TCACTAATGCTCTTGTGGCTGAATCAGAGCAAATCCCTGAGCATGGGTATATAGTATATATTCTGGCCATATAGTGTCAAAAATGAATATACTTTATGTATATATACATTTACTATACTGATATTGATTACACAGCACCTAGTACATTACATTTCCACACTGAAGCTGAAGTTAAAGGTGTGACTGAGATCAGTTCGAGCTTGCTTTCATGAAATTGCATTCGAAACACATACAAACAACTGCACATCTTTGCATTAGCTCCACTGTGCACTCTATTCACCTTATTTGATATAAGGGAGTTGGCTAAATCACTGAGACAGGATATAATGGCCCGTAATTGATAAGAGACTTGAAATGTCAGCTTGATGCACACACAAAACTGATAGATTATAGCACTTTATTGGCTGTCTCTGGGGGCCAAACAGGTCTTTGAATTACTGCCGCTGAGTCATTACCTGGAACCAATCAATTCTCTCTGTTTACATTTGAAGTGCTCAGCCATTTCTCCCTCGCCTGATTATAATTGTCACAATCTAAGCCACTGCAGCTCGCAAGCCTTGAACAGGGAATACATTTACAATGCAAAGCAGTTATGGCATAGCATATGTGCACGCACACAAACATTCACTCGCACATATATTTACACACAAAAACAGCAGCCGAGAGCATGCCAACACTAGAGGTGGACCCTCCAATCACAAACGCATATAAATACCTTTCCTGGAGGCTTCGAAGCTGTCATAGATGTTTATCCTTTGGATGTCGTAGGTGAGCGTGGTGTTTGGCAGTAGGGTTCTGTTCCTGTTGATTGTGTTTAAAGCAAATTTAAAGGCTAGTTCCTCAGCGCCTGACGGGCCGCTTTCAATGGACTCAAATATCCCCCCTGTCAAAGAAAGAGACACAACTCATTAGTGATTTATCACAGTGCACTTGTTATAGTTGGAAAAGATGCTTTCGCAATAACCAGTAGTCATGATTACATAGCGCCTTCCATTACACTAATGATTGGAGTTGGAAGAAGCGTCTCAATCAGAGTAAACTGGCTCATTCAGAAGAAAATTGGCTTAAACCTTAAACATTAATCAGTCTGACAGAAAAGGAAAGAACATTTTGTCAAATAAACACTCACTTATTTCTGTCCACAAAGCAAATGGACCCCCCATCAAAAAATTAAGTCACACTTCTTTGCAGGTTTCCTGCTGGTCACAAGATGTCTCCTACTTCACTGTAAAGTCCATTCTCAGTGGATGTGCACTGGTGACTTCAAGTTTCTACATCACACTGTACAGGTTGCATACTGGACCAGGACTGACTTCCAAAAACTATTTGTGATGTCCACAAATCATGCTGGTAGGGCCCGCCCCTTAAAATCTGATTTTCAGTGAGCACAGAGAAACTTTCCGAACTTTCAGCAGATGAATGTGAAAACATCCTTCTGTGTCAAACATTCATTCATTCATTATGTCCCCATTAATGCTGTTACTAACTTCACTTCTTCCCCGGAGTTCTTGTGCTTTATCGTCTTGCAGGTTCTTCTGGTGGAGCCTCCCTGCCATGGTCCTGCTGGATTGCCATTAGCCT